TCTTGTTCGCCATTAATTTCTGATCGATGGGAAAAGTAAACTTCATCCGCTATTAAACTCGGACACTGGAATTTGGCAGCATATTTTGGCATTGCGTCATCGTTGCTCTCGAACCAGACTAATCTACGGAGATTACTTTACTGTAAGTAAAATTTATTTTATCTATTGTTCAAAGTAGATCGAATTATTTAAAATAGATCTAACTCGGCTAAATAATTACTTGATCAGCGTAAACGCTCACGAAAATTGTCTTTTGTACTTGAATTCTATTTCACCATATCCTTTTAGTCGAAATGATGAAATCGATACCAATATTATAAATCAGCAAAATTATCATATGATTAATTCAACTTCAGAGTCTCTTTAAAATACTAAGAATTCAAAAAATGTTGAAACTTAAGTTTTTCCGCTAGTGATAATATTTCAGGCAGTTTTTTTTCAATTCTACCCTTTCCTACACTGATAATTAAAATTTTAAAACACTCCAGCCTCCAGATTTACGAGCAAAGACCATAAGAAGTTTTCAGGCAACATCTCATAAGGAACATCATGAACGGGAAAAAGTTGTTTCATGTATTTTTCCCGCACTTACAATCAGTTATCTTTCACGCATTTTTTTACAGTGCTCGGTCTTGACAAGTGGTATCCAGTCTACGGCGAAGCAGTATCGATCCACTATCCTGCTCTGTCCGAAAAAAATATTTTCTAAAAATCCAATTCTGAATTAATAAAAAATAACTCAGTACTCACTGCAGCTAGTGAGTGACAGAGAGCGCATTTTCTCGTCGATGGTAACGTGAAGTCACGGACGGACGGACGGACACGACGAGCACAATAGGGCATTTTTTCCATAAAAGAGAAAATGCGCTGAAAAACGTTTTAAATTTCAATAAAACTGTTATATGGCTGTTGATTTTATGTTATTCAAAATATTTATAATATTACGCACATAATTAACGATAAATGTCGACTGGAAATTGAGCGCAGATAAACGATTAACGCATTTATATTCGATCCGGCGCAAGGCAAAAAATTAAGTCGGTCCTTATCATCCAATTTGCTGCACAAACTTTATAATTAACATTTCATCAATCGTTTTTCTCTCGTTTTTTTTCGGAAAATGGAGAACTTTCCTGGGTTCCAATATGAGAAGCTGTGGCATATGTGGCGTCACCAGAAGCAGTGGCATGTGTGGCGTCACCAGCAGCAGTGGCATATGTGGCGTCACCAGCAGCAGTGGCATATGTGGCGTCACCAGCAGCAGTGGCATGTGCAGCGTCACGATAAGTAGTGGCATGTGTGGCGTCACCAGAAGCAGTGGCATATGAGGCGTCACCAGAAGTAGTGGCTTGTGTGGCGCCACCAGAAGCAGTGGCATGTGTGGCGTCACCAGCAGCAGTGGCTTGTGTGGCGTCACAAGCAGCAGTGGCATATGTGGCGTCACCAGAAGCAGTGGCTTGTGTGGCGTCACCAGAAGCAGTGGCTTGTGTGGCGTCACGAGCAGCAGTGGCATATGTGGCGTCACCAGAAGCAGTGGCATGTGTGGCGTCACCAGAAGCAGTGGCTTGTGTGGCGTCACCAGAAGCAGTGGCTTGTGTGGCGTCACCAGAAGCAGTGGCTTGTGTGGCGTCACGAGCAGCAGTGGCATATGTAGCGTCACCAGAAGCAGTGGCATATGTGGCGTCACCAGAAGCAGTGGCTTGTGTGGCGTCACCAGCAGCAGTGGCTTGTGTGGCATCACCAGAAGCAGTGGCTTGTGTGGCGTCACCAGCAGCAGTGGCATATGTGGCGTCACCAGAAGTAGTGGCATATGTGGCGTCACGAGCAGCAGTGGCATATGTGGCGTCACCAGAAGTAGTGGCATATGAGGCGTCACGAGCAGCAGTGGCTTGTGTGGCGTCACCAGAAGCAGTGGCATGTGTGGCATCATGATAAGCAGTGGCATGTGTGGCGTCACGACAAGCAGTGGCATGAGTAGCGTAAAGCTCATTCATTTATTAGGAAAGTCAATGTAAATCTTCTATATACCTGCTATGACTTAGGGCTCTCACACATAGCCCCCATGTCCAGGCCCTAATGTTATCTGTCATCTCGAGGGCGAAAATATAAAGCAGGATAATAAATAATAAGCCTAATAATAAAGAATAATAAAGCCTGGGACATTAGGAGGCAAGGAAGGACCACTCCAACTCCCCATCCTGGGGATGGCCTAACCCATTAGTCCATTATAGTAAAAATAATGATTATTAATGGTATAAAGACGAGATAAATATTAAGTGAGAAATAATAAAGGCAGGATCATTAGACAAAACTCATCTACTGAGTTCATTATATTTTATATATATAGAGACCGTGAAAATTCTTAGCAACAATTAGAAATGGGCGGAGCAAATGCCGTATTTCGATTGCTCATCTGCTTTAGGAAATGGAAAATTGGCACTTGATTCTTCCATTGCTCAGTGATTGAAAAATTAGTGACTCGTAAAATAGTGGGTAGAAATCATGGTTCTGGGGGTACAAACACGTGCGTCGTTCCTGAGTGTACACGTACGACGTCCCCGAGTGAACTCGTGTACACGTACGTCGTTCCTGATTGTACACGTGGACACGTACGTCGTTCCTGAGTATACACGTGGACATGTACGTCGTTCCTGAGTGTACACGTGGACACGTACGTCGTTCCTGAGTATACACGTGGACATGTACGTCGTTCCTGATTGTACACGTGGACACGTACGTCGTTCCTGAGTATACACGTGGACACGTACGTCGTTCCTGAGTATACACGTGTACACGTACGTCGTTCCTGAGTGTATACGTGGACATGTACGTCGTTCCTGAGTGTACACGTGTACACGTGGATACGTACGTCGTTCCTGAGTGTACACGTGGACACGTACGTCGTCCCCAAGTGTGCACGTGTACACGTACGTCGTGCACACAAGCGAGGACGCAGCCGTCGTGGTTGCCGTGTTGGCTCACCGGAAGATCTCGTCAGTAATCTCGCCCTGACCCGCTAGGCTGGCCTACACTCCAGCTTAAATCCATTATCCGATATGACAATCAATCGAGCTGCAGAAACTCCACTGCTAAAAATTCAGCGAATAAAAAGCTACTCGATCCTGCCTCATTTGGGGATTAACTGGCGCAGTCTCATGGCGCCCAGGAACTGTCGTTCAAGGCAGAGATAGATTTTTAAGGAGAATTGTGTCGCAAGCTATAATGAATTTGACCCTATTAATAATTCTACCATAATATCCTACGACATCAAGCAAATATGCAATAGAATTATAAATTTCAATTTACTTTAATGTAACCCCTATAAAAAATTTTTTTGTGTATGTAATAAGTCAAAAAAGTGATGCGTGGTGATTCATCCTGATTTTAAGCCGCTCACAATATAACGAACTTGACGAATTGAAGCGATGAAATAGAATAGTCTAACATCGTCTCTGTATGCGAAGTGGAAGACGATGGGTAAGTGGAAGTTCAGTTTAGAGCAGTGGTTCCCAAAGTGGGCGATATCGCCCCCCTGGGGGTGGTGGAATGATCTGTGGGGGCCTCTGGAAAGATCTGTGTTTAACCTTTCTCTTTCAAAATTGCAGCTACTAAATATCGAGAAAGAGGCGTTTGTTTTTATATGTGTCTGTCAGCGAGAGGGCGCTAGAGAATCACCGGGGAACCAAGGGGGACGCCAGCCTGAAAAATTTGGGAACCACTGGTTTAGAGTATTCGGATACGCGAAGCAGCACTGATTTGCCAAATCGGTAAAATTTCTACCATGTTCCATTAGAAGGTCTTAATTCATAATTCATTTTAACTAGCAACATGGCGCTTTGAAATAATCTTAATATATCTTTCCATATTATTTTTGAATTGCAACTCGAAGTAAAGTAGCCGTAATTCTTAAGATGTTACTTAATATTACACAATAATGCTATACATTGAAAAACTGTACACCGAGAGAGCAACAATGCATCGGAATACATGTATTTAATCTGTTTAAAACCTAGATTCACAGAGTTTACGAACAATTCATTTCTGCTTTCAGAAAATAAACAGTAATGATGAATGCTCTTGTTTACCAATGTGCACACATATTTTTCTAGCAAACATGCGATGCCACACACAACAAGCGGTACTCAAGTCTGCCTAGGAAGGTCGTTAGCTCAGCAGCGCTGGCTCGCCAAGTGCTATGGAGAAAACTCTCATTTAAAGAGGCTGATTTAACGGCCGTTGAAGGTACAAAAGACCCGAAATTCAGACTGATGGCAGCCTCGCTGGTCGTGCTGCAGGAGTGAGATTGCACGAGGCCATATATCCACGTTATTGAGAGGCATTTTCCTGGTAAGCCATTTAATGGTGTCTGCTGTCCTTAAATATTATGCAAGTGCTTCGCTCTGCCGACCTTAGCAGCCATATGACTCAAGATGATTAACTGTTGAGTGTGAAGATTTATGATGGCTCCCAGAGTGCAACTACGCGCAGTATTTGTTTAACAAATGCACTGTGCGTATTGTGGTGCATTTATCAATAAATTTGGCGCCAGTGATAACACACATTTATGTAATGTGTTATTTGTATGCTATCAAGGGTAATGTTTTGCAGGAGTAGGCAGCTGAAATTCAAACATCACCAGATAATTCGGTTTATTACTAGCTGGATCAATTCGTAACAAAGGGTTCTTACGATCCCGAAGGAGTGGACCAAACATTACAAACAAAACCAGGATTAGGTGATCTTCATACATAAAATTTGACGAAAAGCAAGAGCTGTCACGTACTTTACACAACACAGCCGAATGCGTACTAGAAACAATACAATATGAAAAGAACGAAAATTCGCTCACATTACTTTTGTTCTAGGACATACTTACTGTAAAATAATACGGAAGTCTTCAATTATGCCGGCTCTTGCTCTGCATTTGTATCCCAGAGGCTTCAGCTCCCTGTAGAACAAAGGCTAATAAAACCACTCTCACCTAGAAAAGCTCTTAGAATTGATCGAGTATAGAGCTTTTTTCACTGCCATGTTGTTGTCGGACATCTTCGCGTTCATTAACGTCCAGGTAAGATTCTCTCAGAATGAACGTTGCTACTGAACAACAAGTCGTCACAAGAAGTTGAAACAACAGTGACCGCTAAAGAAATTTTACAATCGAAATCCTAAATTTTTAGCGCATTTTCTCATTTATGGAAAAATTCACTATTGTGATCGCCATGTCCGTCCATCTGTCCGTCCGTCCGTGACCTCAAGTTTTCGTGGACGAGAAAATGCGCTCTCTGTCACTCACTGCAGTGAGTAATGAGTTACTTTTTTTGTATATGAATGCAGTCACAACAAAAATTACAATGACTTAAATTCCAAAAGAAACAATAACTATTTCAGAGACTCATTCAATAAGTAATTTCTTCCATTCAATCGTGAACTATACTGCAGTGGCTGCACGCGTTAGGGATACTCAGAAATGATGATCTGTTGGTTGCTCGGAAGCCAGCATTGCCAGTAACTTTCCGTCGTGACCAGGGCGGATCCGTCGGTTTTTCGGCATCGTAAAGTATAAATATAAGGAAAAGTTACAAAGTAAAATACGTGCGCTGAATGCTTGCAAACACCTGCCGCAAGTGCGCTCCGGTAACGTTTATTTATATCGCTGTAGGCTCAGTTAGAGAACGGATGTTCCTTCTGAGATCACTTGCTCACTCGACTGAAATATTGCTGTGCGATAAAAGTCAACCTGTTTCGGGGGAGTTGAGTAAAGTTTACAACATAAACAAGACTAAGACCATTTGTTGGGCCTAGCCGAACGCTTCTAAGCAGGGTTCTGGCGCATCAATTATTAAGTGATAGCTAAATTATCATTTAAACTGATTTGCTAATTGGTATGAATTCATTCTAGCATGACCGTACTTATCCAAAGTCATGATCAGTGACACATACTTTACGGTACTTCTATATAATCAATATAAGCAATAGAGATCAATAATGTATCTGTATGAATGCTCGATAATAGTTTAAATTTCGTATGTAAACTATTTCTGAACTTGTTTATCTGCAATCAAAATGCACACTGAGGCTTCACTGCTGCGTTGAATGCCAGTAAACCAAAGACTATTACTTCCTTGTATTCTTTGCAACCCAATTGAATTGAATCCAAATTGTTTTCAGTTGCACGAGCCTAAATTTACATTCAGGACGTGGAGCTGAGCTGCGATAGGCCTGAGTTGTTCAGCGAGCGTCTGTGAACGAGAAGAATCCAAGTGCCTCAAACAAGATTTTCCTGCCTTAAATACCCAGGAAAATTTGCATGACCATACATTTTTGCTGGAAGATATGAGATCTTTGATATCTTGGTTTTGAATGAGTTGAAAATAAAATCAATATGAAATAAAAAAGAATCGCTGATTGCAGAATAGGTTGACTCGTGTCGCAAAGCTAGAGTAAAAGCGCGACATTGGAACAATACAAAAATAACGCAATACAATTCCCAGTCGAACACATCAATGAACATGCTTTAGTAGGACAAGATTGAATGTAAATTAATATGAGCACAATTTTAATAGTAATATTTATAATGCAATACTTTTTTTACTAGAATACAGGTGCAGCGAGTAACTTTTTGAAATCAATAAGATTAACTTTCATAGGAAATATATTAGATATTTTTGTTGATGTTGTAAGACTTCTTGGACGTTCTGCAGCTCTGTATCTGTAAGTGTAACGAATAGCATTATGCATCAAACACTGCATACCAGTCATATATATATTTATTTATTTTCCCAGAACCGCGCTTTAAAAATTAGAAGGTGAATCAATACGGTCATCACAAGACGCTTTTTAAATAATACAACTATTCAATCACCCGATTTAATTTAATCACCCAGTCATTTAGTCACCCGATTTTTATTTGTTCTACAGTTCAAGTTACAACGAATATTCACGCAATTTTCTAAAACCCTATCTTAATTTCTTAGCAAGTTCTAACTCCAGAACT